GGCCCGCCATCTCTTACCTAACCAAGGTGTAACTCACTATTCATATGCTAGATTTTGCGACACCTATAGATTTCGCATTTACAATTTCAATTCTATTCAAATACTAATTATAAATATAATTGCAGAATTGTATAATTGATTCTATTATATAATTGTTAATAAAACCTATTATTATATACTTATCGTTACCAAATTTATAATTAATTTATATATAGACAAGTGCTAGTATAATGCCCAGACTATTTGCAATAAGTGTATTGTCTTACTCAACATTCTACAAACTTAAACCCAGAGGGATCTCTTTTAGTTGAATTATTAGTTTGACACTAGAAGGTTTTTCTCTAGTATAAACAATCTGAGAATTTAGCAAGGCTATCACTAAAGTATTAATCATATTGTTTAATTTTTTTTATACAGATACTTGTTGGTGTTCTGGCAATTTTTTATACTTTTCTTGTAGAGCTTGCAAAAGAGGATATAGTTTATGAGTATTTGTTTCTACAGGTAGTATTAGTAAGTAAACTTGTATTTACCAATACTTATAAAAATTATCAAGTGTTAAGCTTTGATAATGTTTAAGAAGTTGAATTTGATAGGCACAAGAAAGTTCTATTGTACTATAAAAAGATTCAGTACATAGTGGTAAAGGATCTTATATAGTTGCATATTTTATCCTTTGATACTGCTTATCTACTTTTTTAAGAGCAAAACCAGAAATTTTGCTCTTGATATTTGCATATAGAGAATAATTTGTGCAAAAATTAAGAAGCAGATCTTCTCTAATACAATCAGAGTGTCTAATTCTTTTTTTTTGATTTTCTATTGCCAAGAAAATTTTTATAAATATCATAAAGATCTTCTACAATATTTGTAAGTATATTTTTATTGTTGTATGAGCATTCTCAACCCGTGAGGTGACAGTTGTTCCCAAATAAAAAAACTTATTACTCCAAGCCTTTGCAAATTTCTCTTTTCAAGATATCTAAATTTCTTCAAGATAGTTAATTATATGAAGAAAATTCAATATTTTATATTAAATTCATCCTTCATCTGTAAGTAACCAATATTATTCTATTTTGAAAGAAATTTTTGCCACTCATTACCTCTTTCAAAATAAAACTTACAATTTTTATTATGTTCTTATTAACATGCCATAGGTATAATAAATTTGCCAAATATGAAAAGATTGCTTTAAGTGTATTTATTAAAACTAATTCTTTATCTGTTACTATAACTTTAGAATTTAGTACTCTATTAAACAATTTATTTATCCCTTAAACCGTATTCCAGGCAAATTTGCCTGGAATTTTGAAAAGTATTTATAATTTTTTAAATAAAATTA